TTCTAAATCTGGCGAACGTTCCTTCGAGAACGTTCTTTTGTTCAAAATTTGCCGTTATCGCTAGGCAGTTCTTAGAATTTCGATACAATAGTGTTTATTGCTTCGAACGACCCTTGATTTTCGAACGGCGGTCGAACGTTCGCGACGTTCGCTTTCCTAAGGGTTCTCAATTCTTACTTTCATTGTCTAAATTCATTTTCATCCATCCACTCTCTCACACGGTCGTTACAATCAGGTAGTAATGATCCTTGTTGGACCGGCTGACGCTTTGTGCAATAGAGAGAGAAAGAGGTTTCCAACAAAAGAATTATTACGATTTTCCCGTCAATAGCACACCCGTCCGTCGACATATAATTCAATTATTTTAATTAAATTATTTTATCACATTTATTACCTTATTATATTTATTATTATATTACATATTATTTTTTATTTTATTATCTTGTATCACATATTATTATTTTTTATATTATCTTATGTTATATATTATTATTTTTTATAATATTATTTTATATAATTCTTTTCTATTATATTTATATTATTATTGTATTACTTTTATTATTGTTATTTATATATTATATTACTTATCATACTTGTATCATAGTATATTATATTACGAATGTTTCGATTAAATTCATTTTTATTTTCATTTAAACGCAGTAGTTATTTTGTCTTTTTAAATATGCTCTTTTAGAATTTACCCTTCCTATATGCTGGCATTGTGATTGAAATTCAAAAATTGTCTTATAACATGAAATTCGAGCGATACGCGAGACTGACGCGCCAAGATCACTGAAGAGGGGTACCGCGCGACTCAACGTTTAATGCATTAACGTATAGGGAAACTTTGGTGGCTTTTTTCTAGGGGAAGGGTTGATTTCCGGCACATGGTTCCTTTCAGACTTTTTATCCCCTCGATGAGCACTATACGATAAGCCAATAAAAAAATTTGACCTTGAAATTAGGGTCAAGGTCAATTTTGCGGTCGCTTTCTTTGACAGATCTCCACCGATCCAGAGGTGTAGAATCACCCCATATAGGTCGTGACATTTAATTTTTTTACACCCTGTACAACATATATATTTTTTTCAGAATTTTCGAACCAGTAGTTTTTTAAATAAAAAATATTTTGTAAAATTCTTTATTGTTAAATAACATAAAAAATAATGCATATTTCAGGTTAAAAATTTAAGTAAGTTATATACATATCTAGAAGTAATATCTAGTCAGAAATCAAACTAATCCGTTTGGGGGCACTTTTCATATGCATATCCCGCCAGTCCCTTTACAAAACCGTAGGAGGCAAATCTATCATATTATATATCAATGAATTCAGAAAAAATTGTCGATTCTTTTCTGTCATAATGTAAATTTTTGTATCTCTTAAAATAATGTAACAATAAATTTTTTTGTTATAAACAAAACACTTTTTACAATATCTGTGACCACCTTTTGTTTTACCTCAAGAAACCATGAATCTTTTCCTTAAGAAGTTTTCTTATATCTGTGATAGTTTTCGAGATACCATTTTTCTGCTGAAATTTCAAGGGGTGATGTTACCCCCTAAACATGCGATTGGGCCGCTATAAAAAAATACGTGTCTCTTATTTTCACCTGCTTAATATATATACTGAGTTTCATTGAAATCGGAGACGGACAGTTCGATATGGTTCCTGTTAGTAGTACTTCTTGTGAACGATTCCTTATAACCATTAGACGTTGCGAACGTTCCTCCGTAGATTCGTTCGCTAAACGCCTGCAGATTAATCCGATACGACGTGACCGTTCCTCAGAAGATTCGTTCTTCAAACGATTAGACATTCTGCTTAGTCGACGTTTTTTCTCATCTATCGTTTCGATATCATCTATCGTGCAAACTTCAAACAATGTAGGAACTACACGATATTCGTGGATCCATATGACGCAACAGCAAAACATTGTGTGCGATCATGGAATATGTCCTACCAATTCTCTTATTCTCTTCCTTTAGAAGTCACAGATATTTGCTCAGTTTGAATCGAAACGAGTTGCTTTTGAACAGTAAGTACTAAATAACAAGCAATATTTCATTTTAATACGAGGATGGATCAAATATAATTGGGAATTATTTTTTTAAAATTTATTTTAACACCAAAGCAGAAATTGAATACATCTTATTTTTCAACATAATTTCCTGCTATATTTACACATTTGTCCCAATGGATAGACAACTTTTTGATTCCGTCATCGAAAAAAGGCGTTGTGCTGGTCGTAAGCCCGTTGCACACGAACGCCTCCACGCCATCATCGTCGATGAATCGATGTCCTCCCAACTCCTCCTTTAATAGGCCAAACATGTGATAATCACACGGGCTTAAATCTGGACTCTAAGAAGGGTGGTCTAATGCCGTCCAATGCATTTTCTTCGATTTTTGTGAAGTCAATGCAGCTGTATGCGGTCGTGCATTATCGTGTAGAAGAAAAACTTCTCGGATCGACATATCTTGTCTTTTTGTCAATATGCAAGTTTTGCCTCAGCAAGAAGTTGGCAATAATAGGCAGCATTGATCGTATGACTTTCATAAAGAAAATTAATTAACAATACGCCTCGGAAGTCCCAAAAACTAGTCGCAAGAACTTTCCCAGCCAACAGGCGAGTTTTGGCTTTGACTGGGGCTGTCTGCCCATTTCTCCACTCCATGCTCGCATGTATTGACTCAGGTGTGTAATGGTTCACCCATGTGTCATCGCAGGTAACAATGTGACTTAAAAATTTCAGCTGGTTTTTCATCCCCCGGGTCAGACACTTTATGATAATGTGCTGCACAACCGACGGGTGTATCTCCTGCTCAGTCATGATGCTATTTACTAACAAAGCGGAAGTGCGAATGCAACTTCCAGACACTTCCACCCACAATGACTCAACGTCATACGCAGCACATTTAATTATACAAGACGCAATATAAAAATTCCCGGTTATATTTGATTCACCCACGTATATGTTAAATATACAGGGTGTCCCAGAACTGGGGTAGGAGCCGAAGAGGGATGATTGCTGAGGTCATTCTAAATAACTTTTTCTTTCGCCAAAATGTTGTTTAAGGCTTCGTTTTCGAGTTATTAACGAAAAACACTGGCTAATCAGAGCGCGCGTTTAGCGTGGGCCGAACCACGAGAGTGTAAAGTATACTCTGCGTTCAAGCCGTGGTTGTGATCAAGTGCATCGGCACCACGTCGCTATAATAGGATTCGTTGAGCAAAAGTTGTATCGAATAATGAATAAAAAAAAGAAAAGAATAATAGTACCGAATTATTGGTTGCTCATGAACAACGAATAAAGTAATGAGTCGTTGTTCATGAAGAATAAATCGAATTGATCCAACACTTTATTATTATTGTTATTATTATTATTATTAATAGGTTGAGGCTAACCGGATACTTAGTCCTTAGGGACCATTGTATCCGGGCCGCTAGGCAGCCTCCTTACTGGCTGTGCCTTAGCAGCTGGGCTTCTACTGCGAAATTTAGAAGCGCCGGCACCAGGCCAGCGGAAATGCTTAATGATGAGGGTTCCGAGGTCCCCAGGATTGATCCTCTTAGGGCCCTTAGTTCCCTTCATCTTAGAAGTACGTGGAGAGGTGTCTCATCCTCCTCCCCATACCTCGGGCATGTCGACTCCTCTGTGAGTCCCATGTGTGCGAGGTGTTTTCTCGTGTACCAGTGTCCTGTCACTAGGTCCACGAGCATGCGCAGCTGCGCCCTGTCCAGGTGAGTTAAGGTGTCACCCAGCTTCTGTGACGGTCCCTCAAATAAGGCCCTCGTGTGTCTCATACCGTTAGCGTTATGCCAGAGCCTGGTGAATTCCTGGTTCAACCATTCTTCAGCCAGGCCCTTCAACGCATAGGTTGAGACGCCAATAGGGTACTCATGGTATGGCTGGGAGCTTGTCGCCCCCAGTCGCGCCAGTTCGTTAGCCCTCTCGTTGCCTGAGATACCAGCGTGACCTGGTACCCATAGCAGCTTGACTCTGTTGTTCAGAGATAGCTGCCTCAGAGTCAGTGCACAGTCCCTGACTAGCTTCGACCCAATCTTCACTTTGTGGAGGGCTCTAAGCGCAGCAAGGCAGTCACTGCAGATATAAATGTGTTTGCCTGAGTGAGCCCTTTCCAAATTATATTTGGCGCAGGCCCAGATGGCAAACACTTCTGCTTGGAAGACCGTAACCTGGTGGCCCAGCTTGTGGGTCATTTCGACCCTTGGGCTCTCCCCCGCAATTCCGGCTCCGGTGCCAGATCTGGTCTTGGAGCCATCTGTGAACCAGACTAGTCCCTTTGGAGTCAGAATGCCGTTTGGGTCCTCCAGCCATTTCTCCCTGTCTGGGAGGATTAAATCGTATTCGTGTCTGAGGAGGTACTCCGTCTTGCAGCGGTCTCCATCGTGGGTCAGAATTAACTCCGATCCCAGATCCCTGAGGATCTCGGTGTGCCCGCCGCTCCCGGGGACCATTCTTCAGCTTGATGGAGGTGGATGGCCGCTCTCCAAGCCGTTGCCATCACTTTTAGATGGGGTGGCTTGATATCGAGCAGCGCACTCATTGCCATAGTGGGCGTGGTGGGGAGCGCACCTGTTATCCCCAGCAACGCTATTCGGTATATTCTTTCTATAGTCCTTCTGTGTGCTCCCCTCTTCATGGAGGTCCACCACACAATCGAGGCGTATGTTATGATGGGTTCAAGGATGGCCTGATATATCCACCTGACCATCCTTGGTTTGAGTCCTCATGTAGGGCCAAACATTCTGCGGCAGGCCCAGTAGGTGCTGATTGCTTTCTGTGTCTGCTTGTTCACATGGTTCTTCCAGGTGAGTTTTTTATCTAGTATTACACCTAGATATTTTACCTCATCTGTGAGTTGTAGTTGCGTCCCAAAAAGATGAGGAACCTTAAAGTAAAAGCGTCGTCTCCTTGTAAATAGGACCAACTCCGTTTTGCTCGGGTTAACCGAGAGCGAGTGTGATCGACACTAGGATTCTACGAGTATGATAGTCTTTTGCAATCTCCTCGCTAAATCCAACGGGTGTCTGCCTCTGACCGTAATAGAAAGGTCGTCGGCGTAGTCCTGAGCCTCAAAGCCTTCCGTGGTGAGTATAGGTATGAGTTCGTCAACCACGGGGGTCCACAGCAGGGGGAACAGGACTCCTCCCTGCGGGCAGCCCCTCGCGACGTCAGCCCTCACCGTCTCCTCTCCCAGGCTCGCTGTGGCAGTTCTATTCGTCAGCATGTTGTGGATCCATTTTACGACGGAGTCCTTAATATTGTATCTCCTCGCAGCTTCTTGTATTGTATCGTGAGGGGTGTTGTCAAACGCCCCCTCGATGTCGAGGAAGATGCAGAGAGCGGATTTACCTTTCGACAGTGCACCTTCAATGAAACCTACCAGGTTATGAAGTGCCGTCTCGGTGGATTTGCCGTTTTGATAGTCGTGTTGAGAGGGGTGCAACGGTTTGCTGGCCAAGACCTCATCTCTGATGTACCTATCAACCAGCCTTTCCAGCGTTTTAAGCAGGAAGGAGGAGAGGCTGATGGGTCTGCATGACTTTGCAAGGTCGTAATTGTCCCTCCCAACACTACCTTGAAGTATCTCCAGTCTTTGGGTATATAGCCCTTCGCTAGACAGGATTTGAAGATCTGGCCCAGCCACCTGTACAGGTTCTCTCCGCGTTCCTGAAGGAGTGCCGGGAAGATCCCGTCAGTGCCTGGGCTCTTGAATCTTTTGAAAGAGCCAATGGCCCACTTCACCCTGTCCGTGCTAATCACCTTCTCAGCCATTCCCCAGTCTGCCGGGGCAGGGTCGGTACGCGTGGTATCCCAACGACACCGCCCCCGACCCTCCACCCAGCCTGGGAAATGTGACTGGACAAGGTATTCTAGTGTTTCTCTGTGGTTGTTCGCCAGACTTCCATTTGGGAGTCTGAGACGATCCAACCTTGGTGAGGGGCCTATAGAGAAGACCTTCCTTAGCCTGGCAACTATAGGTAGCGCCTCGGTCTCTTTACTGAAGGTCTTCCAGGCCATCCTCTTACTCGTTCTTATTAGCTTTTTGTAAGCCTGCTGGGACCTTTTATAGCTGTCCCAGGCTGGCTCCGTATTCGTCTTCATGGCTTTATTCTGTAGTCTACGGGTATCTGGTTCCGACATGGCAGGCAGCCTCGTAGGCTTGAGTAACGGCGGAGCTTAAGTGCTTCACCGCTTGCTCGATTTTGCCTACGGTCCCCGGACGCTGACAGTGCCCCTTAAGCCTCCCTTCCAGGCCCTCTCTGTAGAGTGCCCAGTTGGTGGCCTTTGGGTTCCTGTAAGCCTTTCCAGTGCCGCCTTCCCTGTCACCTATTAGATTGAAAGTGATAAGGCGGTGGTCCGAGAGTGTGTTCTCGTCCCGGATCTGCCAGTGTTTGACGACCTGTGCCACCTTTGCGAAGCCCAGGGTCAGGTCAATCACCTCCTGTTTGCGGGAGGTAACAAAGGTTGGGGAGGAGCCTATATTAAGGATCTCCAAACCCGTGGTGGCAAGGTACTCTAGCAGTGCTGTGCCTCTACCATTAGTATTGGTACTGCCCCATACGGTGTGGTGCGAATTGACATCGCAGCCGATCACCAGGTGCAGACCATTGACAGCACAGTGATCTACCAGTACCCTGAGTTCCCTCGTAGGTGGAGGGCCCTCTGAGTCATACGGAAGGTACGCCGAGCAGATCACCAGCTCAGACGTATTCCCGCCGGGTTAAGTTTGACCTTAACCGCTAAGAGATCAGCTGTGCAGAATTCATTTAGTTTCAGGGCCGTTATCTCCTTCTTGACGAAGATGCAGGCCCTGGGCGTTGTAGATGTGGCATCGTAGTAGAGTGAGCCGCACCTCATATCGAGCCCTCCTACACGTTCCTTGAAGATCCAAGGTTCTTGTATGAGGACTATATCTGTCTGCCTTGTCGCAAGGCGGTGATGGAGGATATCCGTTGCCGCCTTGCAATGTTGCAGATTGATTTGCGAGAACCTGGTACCGTCTGACACCCTGTTGGTGTCAGCACTGGTTCGGCCTCGCTTGGTACTTTTGGTTCTTTTATGTTCCCCAGAGGGGCCCATAAAATTTACCTTTGAGGGGGGCCCCTCCCGGAGCCTCTCCCTCTCTTATCCCTGGTACCGGCTTTCAGGGAGTGGGGTAGGGTACGTTGAACGCCCCTTTGTACTCCCATCAGCCCGGTCTTCTTTGTGGCTTCTGCCAAGGTCGGCCTTCCCCTCGACAGCCCAGCCCTGGGGATGTATCTCCCCGGCGGGACGGTTGTACCGGTTTTCCTTGGCCGCTGCGAGGGTCCGGCCTCCTCATTCTTTTTTCCCACCTCATGGGGTGGGTCGGCTTCGGTGTGGGTGGGGAGGGTACCTGAAGATGTTTCTTGCGACTCCGCAGGTTCCCCTTCCTCTCTTCCCATACCTTCCTCTTCTCCGCCCTCCGTTTCTACCGGTCCCGGTTCAGGGCGGCCTTCTTTGTGCTGTTTCGGGTCCTGCGTGGGCCCGGCAGGTCCCTCTCTGAAGAGGTCCCTGCGCATTCCCACGTGGACCTCGAAACCTTGCCTTACTATGAGGCTATTTGAGGCAGGGTCAATACCCAGCACCAGAGTGACCGAATTCGGCCCCTCCCTCTTGCTCCAGACCCTCCAGTGCGGAGACCTGGGTTTTGACCCTCAATGAGCCTCATGATAGCCTCCGTTTTTGTCGGAGGGCCGGGGATGACAGTCAGCATCCTCCTCAATTTGGGAAGCCGCTGACTGTCAATGACCTGGAGGTGGTCTTTAGCCACTCTATTGAGCCGGCATCCGCGCACGTAACAAGCAGAATGCCCCCGCCGAACCGGCAATCGTCAAAACGCGGCATGGTGCCCCCCTAAGGGGTCCCACACAGCGCCTCCACGATCGCCCGCTCGACATTGGAGCCCTGCTCTTCCGAGAGTGTCGAGTCCGTGTAGTTGGCCGGCGCTATGGCCAACCTCCTCTCCGTCGTCAACGCCTTCTTATAGCTTACCGGCGACGGGAACACCTTCTGTCGCCGTTTTGCGAGAGGTTGGATATTCGGGGATATGGACGGCCGGGACCTTTTGAGCCCCTTACCGTCCACCCCCTGGCCTGCCATTGACGTCCCTGCGATGGGTTGCCCGATTACCGGACCTCCCCTCGCAGCCGCCGTCACTGGGGCCTTCCCAGCCTCACGTTTATTGTCTGCAGGGACAGTCCCGCCAGAGTTCCCTTCGAGCGCTTGGCGCGCCCTCCGGGCCCTCTTCTTGGTTGCCCCACAGCGTTTAATCTTCGTCCATGCTTCCGGTTCCTGATTCGGGATTTCTCCCTGCACGGCCTCGGTTGTATCGGAGGAGAGCTCTTCGTTGAGCGTGAGCGAGTCCAAGGCTGTACTCTCGCCCGCCGCAGACGCGCCCTCCCTTAAGTCACTCATCAGCGGTGTTTCGGGGGCGGTTCCCAAAATTGGGCCCCTTATCCCTTCCATTGGACTGCTTCCGGGCGTGTTTTTGTTGGTATCCGTTACGTCTATGTCTATGTCTATGTGTTTTTGTTTATTTGTATCCATGAACCCGCTTACAGGGGTAAGGCTAGATACAATGGGGGGGCGCCTGGTACCCAAAGGGCATCATTCGAGACACCATTACCTCGGTGCCATCCAGCTCTCGGCACGATAGCTTACACCTTAGCTTGGGGAGCTGGTCCGCGTAGGGGCTTTGATTCTCCAGCGAGGGTTTTTGGTCCCTCAGGAGTCCCTTATGGCACCCATTGGCCAGGGCACTCCATGGACTCACCTTTCCCGTGTCCCGGTCACCTGAGGCGAGTCAGGGTCCACTCGGGGTCCACTTCACGCACCCGGTCGTCTTCCTATCCGCCACCCGGAGACGCGCTCGGTTGGGGCTCAGCCTGGATCGACCGATGGTCGTCCTGGTTCCCCGCGCCCCTTTCGGGGGTTAGGGCACTCCGAGTATATATATATATATATACGTTCCTAGTCAAGTTTGTAAAATTAAAGTTAAAGTAAGTTTAAATCAAAATAACCAACTATTATCTTTTAAATCATTGACGTTATTTACATATATATATATATATATATATATATATATATATCTTCCTCTTTTCCTTTTATTTTCAAGTATCGTTTGTTGATATCTGACAACGGCGAAATCTGTTAGCGGGACATAGTCCCTCACACAGATCTTTCCTCTGTTTCATTTATACAACAATTTTTAAATGATTGTGTCAACGCCCTTACAATCACACGCTCGAGACGTGGAAATATTCCTGCAAGTCACTGCCTTCTGGATTATATTTTCACATGATCCTAAATCTTATTTAAAGGATTGTAAACAATTTGCCGGACCACGTATCCACAATTATTTTTACAAGTGCCAACAATAAGAGACGTGAGCGAGTCGAATCTAAAGGATTCCCTCTACCTACTTATTTTATAAAGCGTTAAATTCAAACTCCGCTGTTATTTAAATTCGTCTTATATGCGAGCTGTAATATTGTTCTTCAAAGATCACGCGCCGTTCGACCTCGCGATACGTTACGTGTTTACCGGTGATTTTGCTGTCTATCACGATTGTCTGTTCGGAATGTACGTTTCTTATATGAGTCGAACTTCGGCAATGTATGTATAGAAATTTCTTGTCAATAATTACAAATAATTACAAATATTTACAGATACTAGAATAATTACAAATACTTGATCCATTTCTGCTCTCATCAACAGAATAAATTGTGATATATTTTCATTTTCTAAATGTTGGAAAGTAACTAAAGGCGGCACTCTTGCGTCATCTGTAATCTAGTTTCTTTTAATTTTCATGTATGTGCGTTCTTACTAAAATAAAGTTTATGGTATTGTGTCGCATCGTTCCGTGCAATGTGCTTTTCCCTTTCTGTATATTTTTTAACACTAAATAAGTCTAATTTTCTTGCTAACGTCCCATTTTCCGCCTTTGATAATTTCCCAAACTCAAACTCACTCCTTGAGAATTAATTGCCGAAGGTTTCTGCGTATCGAAAGTTCTCGGAAACATCGATACACGGACACCTCTAAATAGAGGCAAAAAGTACAGTGTGCGGGCTCAGAGGCGGCAGTGTCGGCTATGAAAACTGGGCCTGACGTAGGTCGCGAACGAACAGCTCGGCACCCCGTTGTCACAGCACAATACAAAAACTGAACTGGTAGAACAATTTTAAAATGAACACGGAACCTAATCTCTTGTCGCATGTTATAATATAAAAAAGAAAATTCTAAGCATTCTAAACAACAAATAAAAATGATTGAAATGGAATAATTGATAAACGTTTGAATTGGAGGCTACGTTAATGATGAAATATTTGAAAACAATTTAAATGAAACTTACGTATTCGTTCCTAAATTGACCTGCTACGCTGAAAGCAAATAATTGTCACTGGGTCACTGTGTCGGTCCCAACCATTCGACGAGGAATCGCATTCGGTAGAACAGCTGTTTTCATGGTCGAGCCAGTGAACCCCCTCATTTATATGCACTTAACTTATGAATAATAGGTGAGGTGTTTCCTCATCGAATATAAGGAATCGACACAGTGACCTAGTGGAAATTATCTGCTTTCAGCGTGGCAGGTTAATTTAGGAACGAATACGTAAGTTTCATTTAAATTGTTTTCAAATTTTTCATCATTAACGTAGCCGACACTGCCGTCCCTCAGCTCGCGCGCAGTACGCGTTCGAATTGGTCGGTGTTTTTTGTTAATAACTCGAAAACCAAGCCTTAACCAACATTTTGGCAAAGGAAAAAGTTGGTTAGAATCAACCTAGCAATCATCGCTCTTCGGCTGTCGAGGTAGTCGCGTGACACTCTGTACAGGATCGCCTCGAAATAAGCAAGTAGTCTCTGCTTCGAAATAAACAACTTGCTATGCCCTCTTCTGTGTTTGAAGTCGCCCGCAAAATGAGAGGTCCGTTTGCCGCTACCTCGGATATCTCTCACTCATTTCTACGAGTGACGTTTCTTGACGATCTCTCGTTCGTCAAGCTGAACAGCACACCTGCTTCGTAATAAGCAACTGTTCGGTCCCGAACGGGTTGCTTATTTCGAGGCAGTCC